ATTCCAGAAACAGAAATTTTTAAAAGTATAACTAAATTGGAAAATACTTCAAGTGTGTTGAATGTTAAACTGTAGACAGCAGGAAAAAAGTAAACAATTTCAAAGATAAATCAGGAGAAATTAAGTAAACAAAGACTGAGAACACAAACTAACAACCTATGAACAGCATTTAGACGTCATATATAATTTAAGTCGCAGAAAACTAGAGATGGGAGGCAAAAAATACTTGAAGAAATAATCACCAAAACTTTCCCAGTCTGAGAGTACAGCTCAGTGGTAGAACATTTGACTGTAACACTTTCCCAATTTGGTGAAAAACAAAAAATTTTTATATCCAGTATTAGCCTAGATAAGTAGGACAAATACAAAAACACACTTATGCGCGTAATACTTAGATAGCTTAAATAGAAAGATCAAAATCTTGAAAATGGCCTGAAAGAAAAATAAAATAAAACAAAAATAGGAAATTAACTTCTGATGAGAAACTAGAAAAAACAGAAGACAATCAATCTCCATCTTTAAAGAACTGGGATGGGGAGACTAACCAGCAGTCAGAATTCTTCAATAAAACTATTTTGCAAAAAAAAATTAAATGAAGATATTTTAATAAAAAAGAAAATGTGTAGCCAGTCAACAGTATAGCAATTAAAAAAAATTAAATAGAATTATTATTTAATCCAGCAATTCCACTCCTGGTTATATATCCAAAAGAATTGAAAGTTAAGGATTCCAAGAGATATTTGTACCCATATTCACAATAGCATTATTTACAATAGTAAAATGTGGGAACAATCCAGTGTCCATAAGTAGATGACTGGATGAACAGTGTGGTATGGAATAAAAAGAGATATTTGTTCTTTAAAAAAAGAATGAAATTCTGACATATTCTACAACACAGATAGACAATGAAGACATAATGCTAAGTGAAACAAGTCAGATACAAAAGGAGAAATACTGTATAATGCCACTTATAAGAGGTAAAATTCATAGGAACAGAAGTACAACAGTGGCTACCAGGGGCAAGGAGCCTAACAAGGGGAGCTACCAGGGGCAAGGAGCCTAACAATTGAGGAATTTCAATTTAAATTGATGAAAACACTCACTTATGATAAAACAACAAACTAAGAATTTCCTCAGCCTTTAAATGATACCTACAAAGCACTGAATATTTCCCCTAACACTGGGAAGAAGGCAAGAATGTCTACTCTCAACGGTTTTATTCAATCTTACTAAAGATCCTGGTTAGTGTAACATGAACAAATAAAAGGTACAAATTGAAAAGGAAATAAAATGGTCCCTATTGGCAGGCAACATGATTATGAATGTAGAAAATGCAAAAGAATTAACAAAAAGATTAGGAATCTTAATGTTTAACCAGGTCTCATGATAAAAAGTCAAGATACAAAATGTTATAGTATTTATTTAAGCATCTTTAAATGAAATCAAAAAACAATCATTCATAACTGCATCATATAGCATAAAATACTTAGTAATAAAATTAACAAAACATACACCAGACCTCCAACAAAAACTGTAAAACATTCTGTTAAAATTAAAGATGAGTGAAATAAAAGCTATGCCATGTTTATGATTGAAAGCTTCAAGTCACTTCTCTGAAAAGCAATTTATAAATTAAATACAATCCCAGTCATGGTCCCACCATAATCATAATTTGGAACTGAAAAGTTTATTCTAAAATTCATAATGGAAATATAAAACAATATGGGGAAACAATGAAAGTGAGACTGTATTCATTAACTAATTTCAAGACATGTAAACTATTCAGTGGTTTTTAACTGGGACCATTTTACCCCTTAGGGGACATTTAGTAATGTCTACATAGATATAGATTTTTAGTTACAATCACTGGCATCAAGGAGGAAGAGATCAGATACTACTAAATAGTCCATAATGCATGAGACAGCCCCATAACAATCTGGTCCAATATTTCCATAGTGCCAAACTACAGAAAAGACAATGTGGTATTTATATCAGAATAGTCAGAGAGATTAATGGGACAGAATAGAGATTCCAGGTTACCCCTTAGGCAACAATTCAATGGAGAAAATGTTTTCAACAGAAACTTCTAGAACATATCCATATGCAAAAAATTGAATTTTTACCACTTTATACCATATACAAATTTAGTTCAAGATGGATCACAGACCTAAATAAAAGCTAAAAGAAAGCATAAAAAGAGTATCTTTACAACCCAGGAAAACTAAGAAAAAACTTAAAAGCAGAATACATAAAGACGCCTACAACCAAATAAAAATTTAACACAACATAAAATTGGTCAAAAAACGAACACACATTTCCAAAGGAAGACATATGAGTAGCTAATAAGCACATGAAAAAGTGGCCAAAAACAATGTATTTCTGAATTTATAACAGAAAATTAAATACAATTTAATCCCACAAACTACATACCCATTATGATAACTAAAATTGACAAGTCTAATACCACCAATGTTGGTAAAAATGTGGAGTTACCCAAACTCTCATACATTGCTGATGAATGGGTAAATAACACAAAAAGCTTTAGCAATTTCTTGAAAAGTGAAGTAAACACCTATCATTTGATCCAGTAATTTCATTACTAGGTATTTACCCAAGAGAAATAAAAACATGTCTACAAAAGATATGATACAAGAAGGTTCTACTTTATTCATAATAGCCAATATGTGTTATCAATAACTGCAACAAATTGTAATTATATTCATACAATAGACTACTTAGCATATATAGAAAGATACATGCAACAACCTAAAATATCAAAAATATCATGTAAAAGAATTCAGACACAAAGATATTTAACAAAATAAAGCAGGTAAGTTTTGTGCATTACAATGTATGCAAATTTTCTTCTAAAAAATCTAATGGAATGGAAAGTAAATAGAAGTACTTCTGAAACAAAAAATAGCAGAGTATCAATTGTTGAGACTAAATGATGGGCACATGGAGGTTTATACAGTTTTGTGTCACTTAACAACTATTCAGTCAACTACAAACCACATACACCACATTCCAGGCAGACTATACCATATAGTCTAGATGTGTATTAGGATGTATCATCTAGGTTTGGGTAATTACACTCTAAGAAATTTCACAATGATGAAATCTCTACTTATTCACTTCTCAAAACATATCTACATTGTTATGCTATGCTGTACTATATACATTTAAAATTTTCAAAAATTAAGTTTCTAAAAATAATTTCTCTTAATTCCCTCAGTGAAGGAAGAGAATTGGTTATCACTGTATTTCATATAAATTAAAATCTATTAAAGCATTTAAAAAACTTTCTATTCTGAATAAGCCGTCCTTTACATTTTCTTTACTGTTATTCAACAAGTACAGTTCAGCCTTGAAATATTAATGTTTTCCTTATTTCTTATTTATAACTATTTGTAGAAAGAAAAGGATTGGAGAGAGCTCCTTTAACTCTTACTATGTAACTAGCAGTATGCTACCTATTTCGAATATATTATCCAACTTAAAATTCCAAAACTGGATTTATCATCTAAACTTTTAATCTCATGAGAGTTCATGTTCAATGGCAACAGGGATCTTATTTTCACTATCTCTTCAGGTGTCACACACACAGCACCCACACTTTAATATGTGTACACATCAGAGAACTAAGGAGTGTCAGAATTCATAAATACCTAGTTTAGTTCTATCTTTGGTAGTGAAAATTATTTCCCACTTGTTATATCAGCTTGTTTTGCTTTAATCTTACTGGCATCTATACCAATTTTTGTTGTTTCAAGTGAAAAGAAAAATCTGTGTTTGAGAATTTTATTTTCTGTATTTGATATTATAAAAATATTTTAATATAGTAAATCAATTTACTGTGTATGTCATTGTATCTTTAAATGGTGTATGATGTCTAATATGCAGCATTGCTTCTTCTGCTTGTGGATAAAAAGAAAATTTCAATTTCAATTCTGTTAATACCACCATAAAGCTAAAAACTAACAAATATTGAGAATTTAGAGTTTCTTAGAGAGGAATAAATTGCAAGTAATAATTTATAATAAGGGGCCTCCCTGGAGGTGCAAGGGGTTAAGCACAGCACTATGAAGCTATCAGCAGCCACTACAGCAAGAGTTCAATTCTTGGCCAGGGAGCTACCCACATGGCACAGCAGACCTCTCCTGCCTCACCCACTGCTCCCTTCAGCAGTGTATTTCAGTCAGTCTGCCTGTTCTGGTCCCCACTCTGTCTCTGGTGAAGCCTCTCACCCCCTGCACCTCTAGCCTGTACCCCAGTTCTTGTATGCATAAATAAATCTTTAAATTTATATATATAATTTATAATAAAAAGAATCAATTTTAGTTCAAAAGAATTTATCTAATAAAGGAAGCATCTACATAAGCCTAAAATCAAATTGGTATTTCTTTTTTAGTGCAGAAAATCTCAGAGAAAACTCTTCAGTAACTGCTTGGGGTGTGGTATACGAATATTATCAATAATAGGTTAGAATTAGATTTCTACCTCAATTTGAGTAATTTTCTCACTCATAAATATTCTCAACATATCAGTAAGGTTAAAAAAGGTGGGGAGAGAGAGAACAAATATGAGCTATATCACAAAACACAAAATCAAGTAAAACAGCTGCTAACAATAGTAAGATAGCTGTAAGACCAAAATTTTTTCTCATCAGTTAAGAAAAATATCCAAGAAATTGGTAACTACAATTTGTCTAACATTCTAAGGGAGAAGGCAAGAGAGAAGAAAACATCAGGAGAAAGAAATAAAATCACTCACAAAGAATGACATTATACATATGAAATTTTATTATTTAGAACAGTTCACAATTTTCTTACATATCTTTTGCCACAGATTTAAATCAAGTTCTTCCAGATGTCATTTTGTGTTCATAGATTATACATTAACTTTAAAAAACATTTAATTCAAATGTAGTAAGCACTGGGCTTCAAAATAGAAGTTTCAAAGTAAATACTCATTTAGAGACACCAGCAAATAGATCTGACCTTTTCAAGTGGCTTTTCCAAAGAGTTTCCAATCAGTTTCCAGTCATTCAAGACCTCTTCAACCTTGGAAATAAACCTAGGGAGGAGGCAAAATAAATTCTAAATATGTAACAGTACATTTTTCCTTTTGTTATACAATTTTGTTAAGAGGTATTTTTCACATTTTACCATTTTTATCAGACACTACTCAGTTGTTTGATACTTTTAGTATAACCTTATGAGTGTGGAATAAAAATAGAAGTAATCTTCTTTAGCCCAAGAATTCTTAGATTTTGATTTTTTTAAATCTATTGCAATCCAAAGGCATCCTACCCTCTATAAAATATAAATTAGGGGTTACTAAATCTATATATTCAAATGAAACAGTACATTTGGGGCAGAAGTAAAAATGAACAACTTACAATGATACTATTAAAGATAATTATGAAACCAATAATTTCTTCCCTACACTCAAAATAACTGTGCTATCTAAATGAACTTTTCCTTTAATGACACTTAGGAATTTTTGATTTTACCTTCCCATTACTCCCCCCTAAAAAAAATATCATTTGGGAACTTTCTTAGCAAAATAAGACAAATTTTAAGAATTAGCTCACAAGAAACTGAAGTATTCAATAGATTAGGCAGAAACTATTATCTAATCTTTAAATTTAAAGATCAAGGTGGCCTATCAAAAAGAGAATGAATTTTGACCAGCAACATGATTAAGTAGCAGCAGGTGATAAATGTCAATCTCAGTACTGTTAAACACGTATTAAAAGGCACTTTTAGAAGATTTGTTACTAATCTATGATGCTGTTTCCTATCAGTATGATGCAATCTATCATCAACATTGCTCTCCTAAAATACATACATCGCATTGCAAAAGTACAGTTAATTCTAGTCAAAATATATTCAAAGGCATCAGGTTTTTTTCCTTTCAGTGAGAATATAAATTAGTAGTTACATTTCTGTTGTAATGACAATAATGATAAAACAGAGTTTTTGATTCAACTGAACACTAACTCATCTGGAAAATTAAAGGCCATATTAATTAACAGAGTAAATTCACTTAAAAGGCAATTATCAGTTTTGAAAATGAATGCTCTAGAACTAAATTAACATGTTTACAAAAAAATAAAATTTAAAATGTATATATGAACAAAGTTTGCATGTGAAACATATACCGTATTTAAAAAGAAAAAACTGGCAACTACCCTTAATGTCCAACTGCAGCAAACAGTTGTAAATTAATAGTATATACACCCATTCAATATATGACCATAAAAATCATGTTTTGAAGACTATCTGAGGAAATATGAAAATGATTCTATGTTAAATTAAATGATTCTATATAAATAATAATATGGTTTGATACAAAAAGTTGACAACGCACAGATTACAAGAAATTTTCTCAGCATATTAATAGTAGCTATCTCCTAATGTATTAGGATTACAGGTAATTTTTCTCTTTTTTAACTCTACTATAAGGCATTATTATTATAATAAAAATAATTTAGTTTTCACAGTAAAAAAAGGAAAGCCTGTTTTATGAATTCTATCACTACTAGGTAAAAGAGAATAACTGAACTTTATCCTGCCAAGTACTGAGATTTGTTAAGAAAAACTTAAAAACTTTGTACCTTGTTGTTTTTGATTTTTACTTTATTATAATTAGTCTTTTTCCTGGTCCCTTATTTAAGTTTTCTAAATTCCTGCTATGAGTGAGACCATCTGGTATTTTTCTTTTTCTTTCTGGCTTATTTCGCTGAGCATGATCCCTTCCAGCTCCATCCATGTTGCTGCAAATTGCATGAGTTTATCTTTTTTGATTGCTGAGTAAAAATCCACTGTGCATATAAACCAGAGACACACTGGGGGGGAGGGGAGGACAGAGTAGGATCAAAATAAGGGGGGTGGGAATTGTATGGGGACTATAATCAAGATGAAAATGCATACACTGTGCAAAATGGAAAATGATGTAAAAATTATATAAATTAAAAATAATTTTAAAATTTTAAAAAACAACAAAAAACTTCACACCTGAAAGTTCTCGAGATCTTAGAGTCATTTCCTGACTCCTCATTCTATATTAGGTTTCTTTATGATATACTCAACACATCAGATTTCTTTCCCTTTTTAGCTCTTATTTCTACTGTAGTTACAGACTAATTTGTATTAATACGTGATTAATGTCTATTACTTCCATTAGGTTATACATTCACTAAAAGTGGAAATGGTCAGTTTTAATTGACTACCACTTCCCTAATGCAACACACTGTGTTTAACCAATGGGTAACCAATAAATATTTCTTCAATGGACAAAGACAGTTAAGAATTTCTACTTAGACCTCTAGATAAACTGTCTTTATGACTCATTACTAAATGACCAGAACTTTCATTCAAGACTTCAGTCTTTTTGAATTCCCAAAACACCAGATATGCTCTAGAAACTAAACATACTTTGTGGTAGTTCTCATAACTGTGTTAATAATTCTAAAGGATTTAACATTCTACTTCAAGACATTTTAAATATTTAACTAGGGAAAGTGATCCGTTTCCATTCAGTACTCTGACATTTCCTCACTCCCACACTCCAAAAGTTACATTATTCTGCCTTCCAAAATCAAGTTATTATTTCAAATTCAACAGGTCTAAAACTGTACTCTTTCTTTGCCACTGTCTTACTTTTATTCTTTCAGGCAAAAAACTGCAGTTTCATGTTTGATTCTTTCAAGTTTCTATTTCATCAAATGTACCTATCTAAAACCTGTTTGAAATTTTCTACAATCTAGCCTCCTATTTTGTTGTTTTCTTCAGTCTCCAAACTACCAGTCTAACTACAAGTCACAATAAGTGCCTCACCTTCATTTTATTTCACCTCCTGAAACAACTCTCACCACTTTGCCACTCTAAAATCCTGGTCTCTCACTGATAGTCTTTAATGGTTCTTTTCTGAGTGTATTCTCCAGGTCAGCAGCATCACTTGGAAACTTATTACAAATACAAATTTTGGGGTCCACCTCCAACATAAAGAATCAGAAACTATGATTCTGATGCGCACTTCAGTTTGAGAATCGCTGGTTTCAAAGTCCCAAATCCAAAGATTCCTTTAAGAATCTTTGGAAGCTGTCCATAACTAGGACCTATCTTCCTTATTAACCTTACTTCCTTTCAACAGATAGTTGTTATCCAGTGAAAAAATTCCCAAAGCTTCATTTTCATTTGTCTCAGCTCATGTCGGTACCTTCTCATGTCTAATCAACCACTGTCAAGGTCCAGCTCATTTCCAGTTTTCTATGAAATTATTTCCAATTATAATCCACAACAGCATCATTCTTAAACTGCCTTTTTAAATAGTATCAGCTGACTTACATTTAAGTATTTGCTATTTTGTTTTGCTTGTTTTTTAACTTTAAAAAAAATTGTTTTTCATTCCTTTGCATTAGTATAGTTTTGGACACATAATACCTACTCTATAAAGCCTTGCCAGCGTGGTTATGTTTACTAACTTTGGTTTTTTGGAAGGGTATGCATGTCAAATTATTGGGGCAGGGATGTTTTATATTCTCCTATACCATCTAGACATGATGTCCACAATTTCTTTTCCCAACCTGGAATATCATAAAATGCTGTAACAAGTTAACTACTGCCCTCCTCACCAGGAAAACTACAGGGTCTCTGCAACAACAAGCAGAAAACTTCTCAATCTAAACTCTCTTCCACAAACTTGACTTTCAACTAATTTCGGTAATATAACCGGTTCTCTCACGCAGCTGTTCGATGGAGTTTGACAGGCACGGAAGCCTGGGCACTTTAACCACTGAAATGTAACAACTTGATGTAGATTATCTTTTTAAAAAAGGTTCTTCTTTTAGGTAAGAATGGAGTGAGGCAGACATAGAAAACCACCAGTACTTATGGCCAGAAGAAAAGCCTCCTCTGAAAAGTGTGTGCCGGGGAGGAGGAAAAAAAGCAGCTGCCAAGTTTACTACTGCTTAGGATATCAAAATGATTTAAACGGAAACGAAAACTGGAACGGAAGTGGCAGCTTGGGAATTATCGCTACGTGGGGACAACAACCAGGAAATCAAAGATCTGAAGAAAGTGGTCTAAGAGTAGAGAAAACAAAACTTTTCCTGAAAGCTAGACTCTCGGGCGTCGGGCTCATGGGGGAGGACGAGGACTTGTCAGACGGGAGACCGGGGGAGAGGTCAGCAGCTGACCAGAGAAGGGGAGCGCAGAACCCCAGGCGCTCAGGTAAGGGCTTGCTCCGCAGAAGCGGCGTCACCTGTGAGCTATTTATGTCGGGAACGCGACTTGCCAATACCCGGGCCCAAGGTGCTGGTAACCAAAGAGGCAACTCACCTTTCCCATTCCGAGGCAGTAGTGAAATCGGTGAGCTCAAATACCTCGGACTCGGGCTGCGGGAAGGGAAAGGAAAGAAAGATATTGAGCCCGGGGTCGCTGACGCGGAGGAGCGAACTTGGAGATACGAATACGTAGGGAGCAAACACCTCACCTCGCTGTCGGCCGCCATCTTGAGAAGCGCCGGGGGCGGGCGCTAAGGCTGCCGGGAAGATAAGCGGGGACGCGGGGAGGGAGCGGAGGGCGGAGCGCAAAGAGGGCGGAGCCTCGGCGCAGTCCCGCCCCAGGAGGCCCGGCCCCGTTGGTGACCCCGCCTGGAAGTCTCCTCAGGTGGAAATACTAGATTAAAAAATAATAATAATATTGCTTTGAGGGCCTCCCTGGTGGCGCAAGGGGTTAAGACGCAAACTATGAAGGTGTCCACAGCCACTGCAGCACGAGTTCGATCCCCGACCAGGGAGCTTCCCACATGGCGCAGCAGGTCTCTCCTGACTCCACAGCTGCTCCTCTCAGCAGTGCATTTCAGTCAGTCTGCCTGTTCTGCTCCCCATTCTGTCTCTGGTGAGTCCTGTCGTTCCCCGCCCCATGCCTCTGGCCTGTACCCCTGCTTTTGTGTGCAAAATAAATCTTTTTTTAAAAAAGTCTTTGAAAAATGAAAAAAGTTAAAGTTGGTGATAGATAAGGCAGAAGAAGAATATAAGGTTAAATTAGAAAAATTAGTTAGAACGTTAAAACAATTTTGACAATGACAGTTGTTGCTGGTGCTATGCCCTGAACCACTCCTTCTCTTTTGAAACTTCCTTCTGGTTTCTGTCCATTACAGTGTCGGGAGGCTGAGGCTTACTACTGCAGTATCTTTTTAAGAGATGATCTGCTTATACCTTCATTCATATGAAAGCATTTGTTAAATACCTATTAAAAGCCAAACACTATGCTAGGCACATATAGGGATATGAAGATATACTATAAGTAGTCTTTAAGAAACTTGAGGTCTAGTAGGGAAACTGGAAGTTGCTGCACAAACCAAAAAAAAAAAACAAAATAAACAAACAAAAAAACCAATAATGGTGCCAAAAACATTTGGCAGCATCATGGAGATCAGTGGTAACATTGGCAAGAAGAAACTTGGAGGAGAACTGAAGGACAAGATGGAAGCAGCCAGGCTCTTAATCAGATAGAATAGCATATCCTGAGGCTGGGAAGTAGGGAAGTCTGACCTGTCTAATGAACTAAAAGAGGACACCTAGAGCACAGTGTTTGGGTGAAATTGGAGAAGTAGGCACAGGCCAGATCATTTACAGCCTTCCAGGCCAGGGTTGGACATTATTTAAAGCACAATGGACTCAAAAGTTTTAAGCAAGAGAATAATGGGGTCCAGTTTGCATCTTGCAAAAATCTGGATGAATAGATTGGTGGGGGTGGAGGGGTGGCAGGGAAAAGAAATAGAAACAGCTAGAGACATTTTAAGCATCCAGTGAGAGATGGTGTGCAGTCTTTTACTGGAACAGTCAGCAGATGAAGTGAACTGATTTGATATGGACTTCATGATGAATTAAATGCAAAGATCAGAGAAAAGTAGGAGCCAAAGCTAATATTCAGGATTCTGGCCTAAGCAACTGTGTAAGAATAATGCCATTTCTGAGATGAACATTGGAAGCAAACTAGTGTTTAGTTTGGCAAATGTTAAGTTTGACAGGCTTAAGAAAATTTTCAGAGGGAGTTGCAAGGAGAAAATCGGGACTAGAAATAGGATTTAGAAGCAAGGCCTGGAGTGAAGATATAAATTTGGAAGTTTAGACGGAATTTAAAATCCAAAGAATAGATGAGCTGATTTAAGAAGAGAATACGGAAAGAAAGAGGAGGCTCAAATCAAAGCCTGAAGAAATTTTATAATGGACAAGGGAAGAGTATCCAGTGAAAGAGAAAGAAGGAGCATCTAGCGCAAAGGGAAGAAAGCAAGAAAGAGTGGTAGCACAGAACCCAAGAAAGGAGAAAGTTTCAAGATAGTAAAGATTGACTGCTTGAAAAAAGCAAGTAAGAGAGGTTTTTATTTGACTTTATGGCAGAGGATAGTAGATATGTTTGTTTCTCTCCAGATAATCTAAGAGAGAGAGATTGGTGATAAAGGGGCATTGAAAGAGTTGAAGTTCTTGATAAGGTGAGAAGGGAGAAAATCTATGGAACGGGTGGTCACACAATTCCAGGAGGAAACATTCATACTACATTCTGAAATCTGGCTGCAGGAGGTGTCACCCACAGAGAACACCTTGTGAATAGCAGCCCCTTCCTGTCCCCTCCCACCCCCTCCCCACCCCCAGCTCTCACTGGATGCTTTGTGTAGCTAGGCAGTACCAGGAATTCAGAGCATCTATAGTAAGACGAAATGAAAGAGATGTGATGAGGTTGATCTTTTTTGAGAAGGACATAACGGGGATGGGGGGCGGGAGGAGATGAATGCTAACATAGGAAAATTAGTCCTTATAAAAGGGAGTTACTTGTTCCCTTAATATTTTAAGATTCCCAATAACTGAAATAAGTCTCTGGGTTTTAAAGTCAGACAAATCCATGTTCCATATTCAGCCATTCATTATCTATATGACTTTGGACAAATTACTTAACTCCTCTAAACCTCAGTTTTTCTTTAGCAAATATAGGACTGTAATACCTCTTACTACAGAGGATTGTGGCAATATCCTTTTGTATGTAAAGCAGTTAGCACAATGTTCTGACATGCAGTAAGAGATCAATTATGGCAGTAGCATTTATAATGAGTATACTATAAAAACCATAAAATGCTACTCACATGTAAGGCATTCTTTTTTTTTTCCCTCCTTGCTTAACCGTGAAGTATCAGTACATACCAAAATCACACACAAAAAAATCACAAAGACTTCACTGCATGAAGTTAAGTTTTATAAATTGTATGAAACAGCCTTATCAGGTTGCTAGGCAAAGTTTTAATCCAAGATATTTTTGGCTCCTTGTCTTCTCCCTGGAGAAACTTTTAAAATAAGTTATTTGTTAAAGTGAAGTGTGAAACCAGGATGCTAATGATGTAAAGTACCCAGGGGAAACACACTTTTATTAGATTTTCACTGGTTCACAAAGCAGAAAAGCTTTTGTTTCTCCAGTATTAAGAGCAATTTTGCTACACATCCAAAGGTAAAGGCTTTTCCATGCAAGCACGTTTCCTCTCTGGCATAATTTTCAGTTATTTCAAGGTGTTACCAATAATGGCCACAGGGAAAATTTTGACGCTTAGGCAATTTAAGAGATTAGAAGCCTGGAAAAAAATCACCCTTGGTTTAGTCCTCAGAGGAAACGTGGGGGCATAACAGTTTAATTAGGTCTCAGTGAGAGAGCAAACATTGTTTGTGAAAGGAGCAACAGCAGTGGGACTATACCGTCTTTATCTACCATGCTGGCTTTTGAGCAGAGAGAATCAGGAATTTTCTATGATGTTGTCTTGAGAACAACTACAATAGAAGATACATCAGGAAGAAGAAGACATGCTATAAGAATGAGAAATTCTTCAGGCAAAAAGGCTTTAAGTTAGAATTATTGGATAACATTCATTCACTCACCCAGTAATATTTACCAAGTATTTACTATCATGTCACCTTAGCCAGTCCTAATGAAGGACTCAAAGGAAAATAATTCCTGCCCTCAGGTACTCACAGTGTCTGAAATAAAGCATAAAGAATTATGATATCATTTAGAAAGAGATGCATAATGTTTATCCAACTTCATCACTCAAGTGACCTTTCAGAAAACAAGTACAGTAACTTATACTCTAAAAAAGTAGTCCACTATTTCTTGAACTAAAAAGAGGTATAGTTACCAAGATGACAGAGTTTCAAAAGAAGTGATGTGGCCTTCTCTCATTTACCATTTAGTCAGTCATTTCTTCATTCAATAAACATTTATTTAAAGCAGCTGCTATATGCCTGAAACTCTTCTAAAAGCTGGAAAACAAAAGTGAAAACAAGGTTCCTGCCCTCAGGATGTTTCAGACATAAAATAATTGAAGTCCTGGTTGCCAGATAAGATAAGAACAACCGATTCCAATTCTTGAGTTTGTAATCACACTGTACCATCTAGTTTTTACAGAGGACCTTCTTTAGTACCTTTTTTTGCTAACTGAAAGAACTCCCTGAAGAGGATTTGGCTTTTACGAGACATAAAAATTGTGTTCCCCTTCCTTTTGCTGCAACTGATCTAGAAGCAGAACCCATACAACCTTAACAGCAAGAGCTACATCACCGCTTCCTTCCATGGGAACTACTTTATACTGGCTGTGTATGTACCTTACCATTCCTGCTTTTACTATGTATTAATGTGATTTCAGGCTTTCTGTGTTATTTAGTATGTTATTTTGGGGTTTTGGGGCTACTAAAAATATTTCCACATAAATTAATTCTTTTAAAACTTTTTTTTATAGGTTTTATTTTTTATAGAGGCATGTTTTATTTATTTGTTTGTTTGTTTTGTTTATACAAGCACTGGGTACAGTCAGAAGCGCGGGAGGGTGAGAGAATTCACCAGAGCCAGAGCAGGGAGCAGAGCAGGCAGAAGGACTGAAGTACACTGCTGAGGGGAGCAGCGGGCGGCAGGAGAGGTCTGCGCGCCATGTGGGACCCTCCTTCGGTGGCCGGGGAGCAGCTGGGGATCGAACCGGCACCACAGAGGCTGCGGGCAGCTTCGCAACCCAGCGCTCAACCGCTGCGCCACCGGGAAGGCCCAATTCTTATTGCTTCTTTGCTTTACACTATTTTGGCTTACTAAAGATATCATAGAAACACTGCTTTCAGACAAACCTGTAGATGAATTTACCTTCTTATAATTGATTTGCTGTACAAATAAGAATGTCTAGTGCTTAATATTTGCCAAACAGTCTTCTAACTGCTTTACTCATATCCATTTAATTCTCATAATTAGCCTATAAAGTAGATGCTATTATTATCATGTCTTTACAAATGAGGAAACTGAGGCAGAAGGAGCATAGCTAATTTGCCCAAGTCACACACTTAGTAAATGGTAAGGCTGGCTCCTAAGCGTGTGCTGTGTACCTCCTTTTCATACTAGGATCACACTACATACATAATTTGGTAATTGAATTTGTTTATTTGTTTTTACTACACCATATGACTTGAAGTCCATTTATGTAAAGGTCTCTCCCCATTTATCATACTGCTGCACAGCATCCAAAATTCAACATATGGATGTACTTATTTTTATTTGTTCCTGTGACTTCACATGTAGGCTACTAAATAACATTCTTAGGTGACAAATATATGGGGCTTCATTATATTATACTATTTACTTTGCATGTTTGAAATTTCCCATGATAAAAGTTGTCTAAAACAAATATTAGGGTAAGAAATCATTATACCTGCATGTAATGATTTGGTGATCTTGTGTAAGAATTACTCTAAGTGAAAGTTGAGAAATGGAAATGCTGGGTGCAAAAGTGTGTGTTTCTTAAATGTAAGAGATAATACTGGATTGCAATGTCCAAAATGAACCCTAGTGATTTACATACCCACTAGCAGTATAGAAAG